TATAGTAAGTATTGCGTAAATCACGCAGATGTCGAAAACATTTGAATAAATATAAATTATAGAAAAAGAAATATTCATGGAGGTTTTCGACGATCAAGCAAGAATTCAAATTCATCCTAAAAAGTATAATTTGATGGAGGTTATATTTATTGAAAATGACCAAAAAGAAAAATTACACGCATTTGTCACTTGTAGATCAGATGATTGTCAGTGTTTGGTATCTTAATGCGTGAACGTGGCTTTTCATCAAATATCATTAGCCTTGTGGACCCCACTACCATTAACTACAAATTTTTATATCGAAAATAAATAAAAAAAACAAATAATGCACGAGAAAACAAAAAAACAAGGAAGGAAGATTTATCGATTCCTGCAACCATAAATATAAAATTTAAATTCAATCGGTTGAATCGAGAAAACTAATTCGATTGTTTAAATTTTAAAAGACTGAATTTATTTATACTCTTCACTTTTTCCTTATTATCAAACACATTAATTTTAAAAGTCTTCTTCTTCGTTATAGGAATAAAAGACTTAAAACTCTATTGTATTTCTATTTTCTCGTCCTTTCAACATACATATATTCTTCTTCTTCTGTATCATTTTATTACAAAAATATTTTTAATATTGTCCATAATATTTTATTTCAAGAATAATTCAATATACGATCTAAAGGGGTAATAGCAAAGACTACAACTCACTGCTAAACAAAAAACAAAAAAAAAATCTGAATTATAAGGCAATCATATGGTTTTCATGATCAAGTCATGTTTTCTGAATGATACAAATCAATTTTATAGATACAGCGTTGAATGATACAAATCAATTTTCTGAATGATACAAAGCAATTTCTGGAAAGTGACACCATCTTACTGTTTTCCTGATCACATCAACGATGCAAAAAAAAAAAAAAAAAAAAAAAAAAAGCCATGAACTCATATACGTAATGTTAAAGTGAAATAAATTTTTTTACTATTTATATGTCAATAGGTTCCTCGTTAAAATATCAACTCGATACCAAAAACATATATGAACCAGAACAACATAAATAATAAAATAATAAATTAATCACACAAAGTGAGATTAAATTTTTAGCTTGAAAAACTCAATGTAAAAAAAATCACGGGACCGTAGTTCACCTTAAACTTCCACTATTACTAATATTGACAACAGATTTATAATAAATTTTCTCCAAAATAATAAAATGATCATAATAACATCAACACCAAATGTCTTAACTCAATAATAGCATATCGGATCTCATTAAAAGAAAAATTTAGGTCTCACACCAAGTAGGTATAGTAGGAAAGTACCTCAAAAAGAGTAAACTATAGATCAGCACCGTTAGGATTATAAAGTTTACCGTAAAGATTCTTCACATATAATTTAAGTTAAAACGAACCAAATTTGACCATTGATCATTAAGTAAAAAAATTTAAAATCTTATTTTTCTCTCTCTTCTTTTCTCTCACCATGAGTTGCCACCTGCACATAGTTTGCTGGCTACGCTCAACTGTACACGTCTCTTTCTTTTTCTTTTTATTTTTTAAATAAATCATATTTAAGTTTATCGTCTAAATTGTCTAAATTATCTAGTCGAAGCCCACATATGAGCCGGACCCAATAATTCTCCCCCTCCAACTCATATGGTGGGCTATATTAAGCTCGCTCTTCGCCTACATGTTTCAAGATAAAGATTTTGTCAATATATCTAATTCATTCTCATTGATATGCATCTTTTTCAATTGTAATTCCTTCGTCTCAAGCACATCACGAATTTAGTGATGTCTCGCATCAATATGTTTGGATCTAGAATGTTATGTTGAATTCTTGGAGAGGTGAATAGCACTCTGACTGTCATATTAAACAATATATCCTTCATGTTTTAAGCCCAATTCCTATAGAAATTTTTTCATCCATAAAGTTTCCTTACAAGTTTTAGTAATTGTCATATATTCTGCTTTTGTGGTTGATAGAGTAATACAAATCTATAACTTAG